ATGCTGTTTTCACAAAATATCGCAGCCTGACACTCTTGTCATTCGAAAGCTTCCATATTGGTTTTGTAGTCAGAGAGATGTTCACTCCTCGACAGTCAACAGTCAATGAAAGCCACGCGTGGAATTAGGCGCTCAATACCCATGATGCTTTGCGGCCTGCTGTCCAACCTCCTCTGTTAATGGAAAATGGCACATGGGAACTTGTACCTCCACCTGATGATAAAAACATTGTGAGAAGTCGATGGGTCTTCAAAGTCAAGCGAAAGGCAGACGGATCAGTTGAAAAGTTTAAAGCACGTCTTGTGGCACAGGGATACTCGCGAAGAAGGCATTGACTACAATGAAGTGTTCTCCCCAGTTGTTCGAAACACATCTATTCGATCATTGTTGGCTCTAGCAAACATCTTGGACTGGGAGATACATCAAATGGATGTGAGGACCGCTTTTCTTCAAGGAGATCTAACAGATGAGATATATATGAAGCAACCTCGAAGCAAAGAAAATCCTGATCACGTGTGTAAACTAAAGAAAAGTCTCTATGGATTAAAACATTCCGCTAGATGTTGGAACTCTACATTAGATAGTTTCCTGAAATCCAGTGGTTACAAGCAAGTTGGCGCTGATTCATGCCTGTACATGAAGTCTGTTAAGCTGCAGAATGGCAAAATCAATTTTGTTATCTTATCAATCCATGTAGACGACATCTTATGGTTCTCGAACGACGTGATTATGTTAGAGGAAGAGAAGGTTGCAATTGGCACTAAGTTCAAAGTGGAAAATTTGGGCGAAGTTAGTCATATCCTGGGAATGTTGATCAAACGCGACCGATACTCAAGAACACTAACCATAATCCAAGTACTTGGAAGGTGCCTTGAAGAGATTCAATATGGAAGAGTGCAAACCTGTATCTACACCTCTTGAACCCGGAAAACAATTCCACGAGTTATCCGATAATGAAAGACCAGCAATCATTCATGAATATCAGAAGATTATTGGTTGTTTAACTTACGTTACAAGGGCAACACGACCTGATCTACTGTAGCTGCAGCAGTTGGCATTTTGTCGAAGTACATGACCAAACCTAGCCAAGAACATTGGAAAGGTGTAAAACGAATTTTGAGATATATTAAAGGAACACTAAACTTTGGTATTACCTTTCAAGCTAAAGACCAAACGTGTATCTTAACTGGGTATTCCGGCCGACGCTGACTGGGCAAACGACACTGAAACAAGACGTTCCACGTCCGGATATGTGTTTCAGATTAGCGGATGCACAATTAGTTGGTGCAGCAAGAAACAGTCTTGTGTGTCTAGATCGTCCACGGAAGCTGAATACATGGCATTAAGTCTTGCAACTCAGGAGGCTATTTGGCTAAGACGATTACTAGAAAATATCGGAGTCAAGCAGAAGGAATCTACAGTAATGTGCGAGGACAACCAAGCAGCAATCCAATTATCGAGAAACCCGAAGTTCCACAACCGCACGAAAAATATATCGATGTAGCTTTCCATTTCGTGAGAGAGAAAGTGCAAGATAAGTCTATTCATGTTGTGTGTTGTCGAACGGATGAAATGCTCGCTGACATTTTAACAAAAGGTCTTCCAAGACAGACATTTGAGAAGTTGAGAAAGCAGTTATGCGTAACTGAGATTAAGTAACTAAAACTGATCAGATTAATTAACTGTCATTTTTTTAGGATACTTAAATTTTCATATTGTTGAACGTTGAGATATATCAAGTGGGAGTGTTAGATTATGTCAACCTCGTCCCCAGGGTCTTCTTCGTGCATGGCGCGTGAAAAATGAGAAGACCCTGGTAAAGGCTGTGAAAATCTCCACGATTCATGGACATTTTAGTGCATGCGCAAAAGCGAATTTGCCTTGGCGCTGACCAATTCATTGCTGACGTACAAATTTTTCATGGCCTTCTTGAGATGAAATATTTCAGTTTGGAAATGTATTTTTTTGCTAAAATATACCTCTAGATAAGTAATTTCTCTTTAAAAATTAAGATGTCTAGAGAGAGAAAATAACAAGAAGCTAGCACGTCTAATTTTTATCTTCCTGGCCGAAGAATTCGCGTTGTTTGTCATGTCTCACGGCTGCTTGCACTGGCAGTCTGACAGCACTGTCACTGTGAAGGTAATTGAAAAACTACAATATATTATTGTTATTTATATTATAATTCAACATATAATGGCCCTATGACTGGTGCTAATATGCCTACAAAGTATTTTTTTAATTAAAGCGCTTAGTTTTGAGAAATTATAATTTGATAATGAAAATTTACTAGTGGGCCAGACTCATATCCATTTTGCACTGTGAACGTTGGCACTTGTTTAATAAGTTATTTTGACTAAAATTATCGCATGTTAGTAAATACTCTATAGTATATAATAATACTGTAATTTATAGTTTATTCCCTTGGAGCATGCAAAGTGCCTACATGTGGAATAATTTGCTTTAGATCTACAGCTCTCATATAGGAGATTAGAACTCCCTTAAATTCTTTTACACATCCTAGTACATTTTACCATTCTAAAAGTGCATTTCCCCATCCCCTTTCAGACAGCAGAAATTTCATTTGTATTGCGAGTTTATATTGTGCACTGAATGGTGAATCAGTAAAACTAAAAGATTGCCAACCAGTTTAGAGATAGTTTTGTTCAATTGTAACTTAATTTCTCTCTCAATTAGAAATAAATCCACTGTTAATAAATTAATTGGATAGATTTGGTGTAACATATAGATTTAGGTTTCCAGTTTGTGAAATGAAATGCAAATCAATTGTATTATATTTTAAATATTCATGCTTCTCAAACTTCAATATGGATAAAACAAAGACTGTCAAGAAGACTGCAACTGTATATGTACAACTTAATGGGGATGGGAATGCTGTTAGTCTTCGCATCTAGGAATGTTGCTAGTCAACAACTATCCTAGGTTCCATAATATTAGGAAGCTGGCTCAACTATACTTAATATTCTGGTAATACTCAAGAAAGTGACATGGCAATTCAACAATGCATATACAACAGAACGAGATATTTCCATACCAAGACAATTCTTACTGAATTAGTATTTAGCTGATATTTCATTTTTTACAGTATTTAAAGTTATATACAGTGCTGTTTTAATTTAAATAACAAAGTTACTTGGTTCAAAATCTGGTCTTTGTTTTTCCTTCTCTGTACTGTACAAGGGTAAAGAAAAGAGGTGGTAATATGTATCCTCACATGCGGCTGATAGGAACTCTCACTCATATGGAAAATGAATTGGGTCGTTCCAGAAAAGATCCATACTCCCCCCATGGAGGAAATGTCTGCCGTCCGGAGGGGGAGGGGAGAAAAAATTGTTTCTGATAGGACATCTGAAGGGGGTTAACTTCCTATTTCCTCTGTCGGGGTGGTATGGATGTTTTCTGGAATGACCCATTCTCAGTCATTTCAAAAAGTAAGCCTTGGAGCTTTTTTGAAATCGATTTCATTCATGCTTCAACAACCGATCTTCTGCATGTACATCATTGCAAGATGTGCAGTCAGCCTGCAATGTCCAAACCACAGTTGTCCACAACATTTGTTCTCATTGAGCTGTCCATTGATGAGGAAGTGTAGTGTGGAGAGAAACAATTTTGATTTGGCTGCATTTATTTGAACACTTTATTATACCTCCCTCACTGATTCAATAGTTGCTAATGTAAATTTGTACTAGCTCTGCAGGACAGATGTGTTCAATTTTTCCTATATGGTATGGAATAAAGATCATGCTGTTAGTGTTACATGCATGCAAATGGTAATTCACA